AAATCAGTGACATAATATTTCCCCCATCCTTCCCTTGAAAAAAAAAAAAAAAAAAAATCCGTTTTTACACAACGGATTTAGTTCACCAACATTTCAGGAAAAAAAAAAAGAAAAAATTACGCCACAAACGCTAAGCGATTTAAAAAAAAAAAAAAACAAGATTCTCACTTGGCCCAGTTATCGACAATTTTTTGTTCGTGAAATCAGTGACATAATATTTCCCCCATCCTTCCCTTGAAAAAAAAAAAAAAGAAAAATCTGATTTTTTTGGGTGGTTGGGCTCAAAATTTGATTGAATGTGTTGCCATCGCAACAAATCTACGTGCCAAGTTTCAGCTTGATAGGTTGACGGGAAGTGGGTCAATTAGCCGTCCGAACGTTTTGACAGCCAGCCACCTCGAAAAGCGAAGATAATATATAGGATTATTTTTTTTTTAAATAAGTGTGTTGATAGAGCAAGGGTTAAAACATGCACATGAGTTATCCATTTGTATCTGTCATAAAACAAAGCAGCTTTACAAAACAGGGACATTACAAAACAGGGACATCTGAGACTAAACCAGGACAGCCAATGTTTGAACCATGCAGTGGGGATTTATTTTATTTTCGCCGATTTCAGCATTGGCGGTGCGTGACTGAACTTGTCGTTCTTTTTCTAACTTAAGGAACAGCACCACACTGTACAAGTACAATATATTGTTTTACGCTTGTCACATTTTTATGTTTCCGTAATTCTGTTTAGGAAATTCTTTAGCTCCGACATCATGAACTGACACGATTTGTGAACACTAAACGATAATGGCTGCAGTTGTGGCATTTTAGACAATGGTGGGCTTGGTTTTATTATTTAATGTCATCCGTCCGCCACAATGTGACGATGGTGTGACGTCACAATGTCACGATGGTGTGACTTCGTCCGTCCCAATGTGACGATGGTGTGACTTCGTCCGTCCCAATGTGACGATGGTGTGACTTCGTCCGTCCCAATGTGACGATGGTGTGACTTCGTCCGTCCCAATGTGACGATGGTGTGACTTCGTCCGTCACAATGTCACGATGGTGTGACTTCGCAGAACGAAATCACAACGCCTTGGATTTTTTTCCCCCCTGGCACTATAAGCTTGTTCCCTGGACAACAAATCGCCTCTCACCACACACCTGAAACCGAAATTAGGGCGAAAGTGATCAAATGACCACTTTTGGCGCCGGAATCAAAACCGAAATTCTGTCGGTCTCTAGATGATAAAATTTATTTATAACGTGTTAGAACGGAGTGGAGGGGGGGGGGAGAGAAATGACCCCCACTCCATATACATATCGTTACCGTTCGTTTAAGAATACTCAACAGTCAACACACTATTGTTCACAACAGCGTCATTGGGGTTACAAGGTGCAATATTTGCTGCCATGTGCGCAAAGGTCTTATAAAAAGCTGAGAAGCAGACGTAGTCAACAAACACGTACCACACAGCAGCACGTCTCAATGTTTGGGTGACATACGGGAGACCCTTTGTTTGACCGTTTAGCCGCGAGTACACATGCTTAAAGCGGGGCGCTGTTGGTTGGGCCATTCATTGACATGGGTCAGGTCAGTACCGACATCAGAATCAGTACAAACACGGCACTCAAACCAACTCTGCACACACCACCGAACCCACACACAGTACCGACACCATACATAGTACCGACACAACACACTGTACCGACATCATACATAGTACCGACACAACACACATTACCGACATTATACATAGTACCGACACAACACATCGTACCGACACAACACACAGTACCGACATATTACATAGTACCGACACAAAAAAAATACCCATACCACATACAGTACCGATGCCACACACGGGCTAGTGCCGCCAAGCCCCTATCCATGAATGCTGCCCGGGGCGGGTCTGACCGTCCCTCTCCCTGCACCTTCCTACACCATCAAATACCAATGCTACACTATTACAAACATTGCACAAAATTTTCACCGGTTGAAGTAGATATTCCATTTTTTTTTTTGTTGTTGTTGTTGTCACATGTAATCTCAGATCTATAACACCGGCTCATATTCTTGATATTTAATTAAACTTGTATCTAATGCTAATCTTGGACGTTTTATTCACACAGCTTTTAAAATAATGTTTAAAAAATACAAAGAATTAGAGAAAAAAAAAGAAGCACTATTAGAAATATCAATGCCAATTATTCTATTATCTAAATTGTGATGAAGACCAAATCATTAACTTTAATATTACTAGATACAGTATTTTTAATCCTAAAAACCAGAATTTGCTTAAGAAACAGGTTTAAGAAAATAAATTGCAGTTTTACATAGAAATAATAATAATGTGACATTAAATTAAGAATACAAAGAAAATCACACAAATCTTTTACTATCCATAAAAAAGATGTGCATCATTGATCATTTATTTACCTTCATAATCTGAGGACCCCAATTTTCATTACAATTTTTGTTTTACCATGACACTTTATTATTATTAAAACACAAAAAAAAATAATAATTGCTAATGTAATCCCTACACTTGCAATAGGGCCCAAATGATATAAAAAGCAAATTCTCTAAAAAAAATTATGAATTCCATATTCATGGGAGTATTGGGGGGGGGGNGGGGGGGGGGGGGGGGGGGGGGGTTGTCATCTAATATTATAATTACCACCATGCAAGTCAAGCCAAAATGTAAAAAAAAAGTGAAGTGAAGAAGCAGTTTAACATTCTTCAAATAGATTGTTATCCATGTCTATCTATCTACCTTGTGAGAAATGTCCTAGCCCAGTTCAATTATAAAATGGTATCTTTGTGTTTTTAGGGGCATGAATTTTAATAACACTGTAACAGTGTAATACTACATTAAATACTGCAACAGCTTAAAAATTAATACATGCCTTTTTTTAAAAAAATGGTTTTAAAGTGTTTTGAAAAACTAATGATTTAAAAAAAAACAAAAAACTTTGAGCATGATATTGGCCTTTATTTTGTGATTATTTACTTCAATTAAAATTAAATAATAATAATGATATTTCAAATTGCCTTTTCACATTATTTTTGTCAAATGTAATATTTCTGAGTTATAAGTTTTAAGCTTGGTTTTAATTTGGCTATTCTAAATTTCAATTTTATTATATGTGATTTTTACCATTTTCCTTTTTTAAAAGTTTAATAATATAATATTAAAGTAACCTAATTATTTTAAAATAAATTTAATAAATAGGTCTGTATTCTACGGTGTATATAGTTTTATTTATTTTGTAAACAAGGTTAACAATTGCAAATTATGGTATATTATTTTAAAAACGTACAAATATGTCACTAATACTACTAATTCCTAATAGTAGTATAATTTATACTATAATAGAGGTTAAAATAGGTTAAAGTTAATTAATTGCAGTTGTAGGCCTAATGTTATTGTTATAGATTCATTAAAAAAATTGATTGAATTGAATTTGAATGTGCAGTCATATTAGGGGTAGGCTACTGTATTAATAAATAAATAATTACATACTCACCAAGTAACTCAAAAAGATATATGAGACTAGGAATAGCCACACTTACAGTACAGTGTAGGGCCTACATGTTTGTTTATCATTCATTATCATATTATAGTGTTTATGTTTACTAAACTACGGCACTACTGCCCACTGATCTATTAGTACTTATAATTAAATTAGTTCTTAAATTAAAGTAAGTGAAAGTGTCATATTAAAAGTTAATGTGAATATGTTACTTAAACTTAATGTACTGTGTAAATCTTCAATAAAATACTTATAATATATATCAATGAGGAAATGCATAGCATATAGCATATATATGGTTCCGAAACGGTACCAAAGTAGTCAAAATAGACGGAGAGAGACTTGGCTTCGTAGTCGTCGTGAGTTACAACTATGAAGCCAAATCTCTCTTCGTCTACTTTGACTACTTTGGTATCGTAATACTTCGTTTTGACTCTGACTCAGTACTGTGTTTATGTTTCTTGGTCTTAAGTTTTTACACTTACACCGAATTCTTAGATTTAGTTTAAGAAACTATTTTGATTTTTTAAAAGGCATTAAATTATTATTTTAAGTTTTCAACTTTTTTGAAAAGTTAGTTATACTCTACGTTCATCGAAGCTTAGTTGACCATATTTTAAACAGAAGTTCAGAAGGAAATAACTTACCTTTGCTTTTTGAGACCGTACTTCCATCTCCGCCAATCGTTTGTTTTTGACGGTAACAAAGTGTTTCCGGGGGAGCTATTTTTACCGTAGCAAGCAGGTGCGATATCTTTCCAGGTATAAAATAGACAATGAACTTGAATTATCTAAATTATAAAAAAAAATCATGCCAACCAATTTTAATTTATAAAATGAAGCTTTTTGATCAATCGTTATTTCTCTTCCAAAGAATCAAAGCATAATAGAATTTAACTATTTTAAACAGGCCGCGGGTCTCTATTTTAAGGGGAGATAACTCAATATATTTGATCTACATTACATGATTTATTGCCTCCCTCAATTTAATGTGCTCTTAAAACCTAAGTCGAGTTAATGATTAACATTTTTTAAAAAATAAATTTTTGTTCCTCGAGATCTCAATTCAAAAGTCATATATTGATTGGGACAGGCCGTAATTGAACAAAAAGATACACATTTAAAAAATAGAAATTTCACAATAGCCCTAATTTTGTGATTACAGTGCAGTGAGTCAGTGAGTATTCCATTAGGTTGAGAAAAGAGATGCGTTCAGCACTGCAGTAGAGATGGGCCAAATGGTACGCAATATTTGTTGACGATTACAAAAATATGATGAATAGCTCAGATAAAATTAAACACAAACATTTCATAGTTTTTTGTTTTTTTTATCACAGGAAATTTATGCTAGAGATTATCCTTTTGACCTTAAGTTCAATGACAAGATCCGTTTACAAGCTGCGTTAATTGCTCATACTTATGTTTAAATTATTTTTTTTTTAAAAATACTGAAACAAGGCTATGCATGTTTTACTCAGTAACTTTTATTTATGAATATAAAAGATGTTAATTTAAGAAAACATACTGATGTAATCATATAATATAACAAACTGGTATCTCCTGTGACGCTGGACACGAGTGTTTCTGGTACATTTTTTTATAACAGATCTTCAAATTACAAATTTTTTGTTATTACAACACATGATACAGATTTGAACATGCACTTTATCAACTTGTAGTCATGCTTGATATTCAAACACAGCCACTTATTTGCAATCGTCTGTGGCATAAATCAAATTGTTGAGTCCCCGTCTGTCTGATCCGTGCGCCACCCAGGATGTGACGAAATTGGGTGCGAATTCTGTGGGCAGTGTGGGTAGAGAGTATCTCTGTGCCATGCCCATCTTCACGTGTCTTTGGAATTCTGCTTCTTTATCCGCCTAAAAAAAAAATATGAATAAACCTATAAATATGTAGCACTATGAAGTCCATGGTAGTCGATCACTTTATGGCAGTGGTTCCCAACAGGTACAACACGTCTGAGGGGCTCCCAGGCCGCTCAAGGGAACCCATTGAAAGAAAAAGGCATTAGGGTAAGCGTAATTGGCTCTTGTCAAGGGTATGAGAATCACTGTTGTTATGTGTGGTTGTGTGTGTGTGTGGGGGGGGGGGTCGAGTAAGTTGTGTTCACCAGAAGGAGTGCGAGTATGAGTGAACAAGGGGTGAGATTGTCATTGATGATCGGAGGCAGGGTATGTTTTTATCTATAGTGTGTCAGGAAAGAGGCGCGTGTAGTGTGATGGGTAGGCCGGTATGGAGGCGTGTAGTGTGATGGGTAGGCCTGTATGGAGGCGTGTAGTGTGATGGGTAGGCCTGTATGGAGTAGTGAGCCAAAAGGTACTACTGCCTGTTGTTAATAAGGATTTTATTATCTGTTTGTTATACTTCGAAAAGGATTATTAGTGACTTTCGATAGTACTGTTTTTTTTTTTTGGGGGGGGGGGTATGTAATTTAGCGGATAATAAGGAGTCCGTTATTTGTCATCTAATACTCAGGACTTTTGTAATTTGTGATGCATGGCTGCCAGCTCAGTACGGAGCACGAGAACGTTATTGTGCAAGTGTATTACATTATCCAAAGCAAGTGTACGTAGTAGCAGCAGCAGTAGTTTCGAGACTCAACATCTCCCTCTTAGAAATTAATTACGGAAAGGGCTACGCGAATCAAAAAAAGATTGGGAACCACTCCTTAAGTCTATTTTGAAAAGGGAAACAAGATGAATCCAAATAAAATACCAAGACTCAAATGAGCCAAGCGCAATCATTAAATAAGTGGATGTACGTAATGGGTCACCACGTTTCACTTTTAAAAATAAAATATGACGGCTATAACTTATAAACTATGAACAATAAATTGACGAATGATTTAAAATATTCGAATTATTAATCTAATTATTATGTATTAATTTGTGTTATTTATTAGTAATTGGGGTTGTATTTCTTTTTCTGATATTTTATTTACCCCCCCCCCCCACACACACACAATAATAATAAAAGTTTTGCTGATTTACAGACTCATCGAATCAGCCTCCACAAGTCCGTTAATGAAGAAAGCAGTGGCGTCAAACTTCTAATTCATCCATATGTAAGTAAACAAAAAATAGATATGTATGAAACGTATTTTCTTAGAAAAAAAAAAAGTATTTTAAAGCAGTTTTAAATCTTCTTAGAAAAATTCTGTTAAAATCTTCTCAGAAAAAGGCATGCAAAAACCTTCTCAGAATAAACGTTTCTTTAAACCTTCTTAAAACCTTATAAGAACAAAAGTCCTTTAAAACCTTCTTAAAACCTTATAAGAACAAAAGTCCTTTAAAACCTTCTTAAAACCTTATAAGAACAAAAGTCCTTTAAAACCTTCTTAAAACCTTATAAGAACAAAAGTCCTTTAAAACCTTCTTAAAACCTTATAAGAACAAAAGTCCTTTAAAACCTTCTTAAAACCTTATAAGAACAAAAGTCCTTTAAAACCTTCTTAAAACCTTATAAGAACAAAAGTCCTTTAAAACCTTCTTAAAACCTTATAAGAACAAAAGTCCTTTAAAACCTTCTTAAAACCTTATAAGAACAAAAGTCCTTTAAAACCTTCTTAAAACCTTATAAGAACAAAAGTCCTTTAAAACCTTCTTAAAACCTTATAAGAACAAAAGTCCTTTAAAACCTTCTTAAAACCTTATAAGAGCAAAAGTCCTTTAAAACCTTCTTAAAACCTTATAAGAACAAAAGTCCTTTAAAACCTTCTTAAAACCTTATAAGAAAAAAAGTCCTTTAAAACCTTCTTAAAACCTTATAAGAACAAAAGTCCTTTAAAACCTTCTTAAAACCTTATAAGAACAAAAGTCCTTTAAAACCTTCTTAAAACGAAGAGCAAGTATTTGGAGGAAAAAGTAAACTTGTAAGGTCAAGGTTAAAAAAATAATTTAAGACGTACCATGAATTGGGATTCTTGTCTGAAACTACTCGGTGTCGAGACGGTTGCTATCACGTGCGGGCGGCTCCCGTGGCAAGTGGTCGAGTACAGAACATCGTTGCGATCATCTGCCCTCTGTCGGAGATGTTGTTGGTGGAGAGGCAGCCCTTGGTGCAGTTTGCTGCGACTGATGGTGGGACACGGGCTGATCCTAGGTCAACGAAATGGACAATATCAGGCGCCGAGGCGATGTTGTGGGCAATCATAAGTCTAAGTAAGAATTTCACACCACCCTTCTCGTGCGCATTATCCTTCGATGGCTCACCATCATTTACATACACACTCTATTTCACATGCACACAGTCAGTGTTTCTTTCAGATATTCCCCCCCCCCCCCCCGGGGAAGGGGCACTTCAGCTTTGTTTTTTTGTTTTTTGGGGGGAGGGGGGCAGTGCCAGTTGATTTATTGTTGGACATATTTTTGCTCCGGGGGGGGGGCACTTGGCACTGTCTCTCCCCCCCCTCCCCCGAGATCGCTGAAAGAAACCCTGCACACGGTACATCGCCTGTACACTGTTGCAACGTGGCCTAGTAGAGTGTACGGCTTGGGATGTTTGGACTAGTTCAATCCCTGCAAATTCATTGACAAGCAAAAACCATCAAAATCACCCCCGGGTGGCTGTGACTCGTTAACCTCGGATGGCCACGCATCTACTATGAAACACCAGTATACCGGGAGATGGAGTACCGTAGGTGGTATGGCATTGACACAATGAGAAAATCCGACGACTCCTGCGACACAGGACGCATTAAGAACGCAGTGAAACACGCAGACACGGCTGGTCAGCTACTGCATCCTGGCCTATTGCCAGGCGTCTCGATTAAGTCTTGACGTTGGATCAAATAGGCAAGCACGAGAGAGTGGGGCTGACGAGCTTGAGCATGAGCCAATCTCACTCACTTTAAACAAAATACAGCTCAAGTCAAAGGCTACTACTCATGCAGGTCAAAGGCTAGTACACAAGTCGAACATTGCCTTTTCTTATCTTGCATGCGAACGACGAACAGCACCCATCGCTATTTACAAAATAATAAACATCTTATAACCCAACATGCAAGTTATTTGTTCTACTAAAAAGAAAAGAAAAACAGACAACGTGCAGTAAAGATAATGTAGTGTACTTTAGTTCTGGGAGGGCTGCTGTCTTGAATCTCACACCGTCGGCGACACCATTTGCCTGGGCCACAGCGTCGATTGAAAACGTTGAACTATTTTCCAGCCAGTTCATGTCTTTGTATGCAAAGAAATTATGTCTGGGGATAGCAATGAATGACACAGATTTAGCACGATCTTTAACGATATCCTGAATGTAAAAGTAATTATTGATACGCGACGCGTGCCGCAGTTGGGCTGCCATCATTTTTATCAACAGATGACAAAATGGACCCAGACACGCAGCGCCGCCATTCGCACCCGGGTACCATTAGACTCAAGCTATTTGGATGTCATTTGTGGTAGTTTATTTTATTTAAACTGCAGAAGTAAGTTTACGAACATATAGTCCATTCAATTATCTTTCATTTGATACCTCATTTTTTTTCTTACAAACCCAACATTATTATTTAAATAGTTTTTTTAATCCCAACCTCTCACTTCTGGTACCCTGGTGCGAATAGTCGCAGCCAAAAAAAAAGCCATCTTGAATTAGCCCTCCGTCCAAAATAATAAATGCTGGAACTTGATTTTATTGCACAATCTGAAATTTGAAAGCAAATCCTCATCCCTCAGGCACACTTTTATGTGTGTCATGTCCAGACGGTCTCGCGATACTTGTAGATTATCAGTTTGTAACCCCTTTCTCTGTTATCTCAGAAGGGCTTAGAAATTGACCACTGGTTTATTCACGAGTCCGGGTTGTAGAGCAGCAAAAGGTGATCTACAGGCGGTAGCCTAGGGACAGACTGTGCAGCGGTCGACCAAGACTGAGATGGATCGACAATGATGAGAAAGACTTAACACCAGTTGGGTGTCCGCGCGTGGAGGCGGAAATACATGGATTGGTCCGAATGGAAGGATGTGGTGGAGCAGGCCAGTGCCCTATGTGGGAAGTATCGCCCTCTAAAGATGATGATTACATAATTCATGAGCAGAGTTAATTTTGAAACAAACAGTAGTGATTATTTAGTTGGTTCGAATACGACTGATGTCACCTCCCTGCCACTGTAAATTCATTTGATGAAAATGTGAAAATATCCCTGGCAATACCAATGTGATGTCTGATTCTTAGGGAGTCGGCACCGAAAGAAGAATTTCCCATTTCAAAAATGTTAGTGTCAAATAGCTTCTAAAAGAGACTCACACATTTGCCTTTTTATAGCCAGTAAATTTTTAGCCACCGAATGAATAGCATACTGAATAGTAAAGTCGTGAGGTAATTTTTTTTTTTTTTTTTAACAATAAGCTTTTACGGAAGTTTAAAAAACGAAGTGGCTATTCGGTTTAGAGGTAGGGATCAAAATTTTTTTTTTTTTAATTATTACTGTTCTGTTGTAAAACAAAATTTGGTATCAAATGAAAGATTGTAAACTTAATTCTTCAGTTTAACTAAAAACAAAAAAAAAATACCACAAATGACATACTCCACTTCTCTACCGTTATACATTTAAATCTTTCTAATGAGTAGCACTATACCGGCTGTCAAAAATACATTTGAAGTTAATGAATTTACAAAAAAATCAATATCAGGTAGCAGGGGGTCTACCCAAAACCGAAAAAAACAACATGGCAAGTGGTCTACGAGACAAAAAAGTTTTGGGACCTCTGCAATAGATATTAAAATTATGCCTAATCCTAACCAGTAAACTAATCTGTGCTTGAACTCATACTGACTTGATGGATTCCCGATGGAGACGATGTTTCTCCATGACATCTTTATCAACGCTTCTATTGTTTACCAAATGTTCACTGTTCATTTCATCGTGACAATTTAAAAAAAAAAAAAAAAATCAATCTTGAAAACTGACGAATGTATAGGAACTTTCTGGTACAAGTAGGACATCTGATGCCTTAACTCTAGGAACGTGCTGCTCTTCAGGTTCTTCGATGCATTCCAAGGAACGTTCCACAACAGGACGTTTCTGCACACACACTTATCGTCCTTTACAATAAGCTACTAGAGAATAAGGATTCGTTGCGGATTTTCCCCATAAATATGATTATCTATGGTAACTCAACGGTGGCCAAACCGCGGCTCGCGAGCCGCATGCGGCTCTTCTGTGTTCACATTACGGCTCGCGAACAATTTATTATGAAATTAAAACTTTTCGTTTGAAATATATAATATAAAAAATAAATGAAAAAAATCGATTAACTTTCGGGGGGGGGGGGGGAAAAAAAAAAAAAAAAAAAACAAGAAGAAAATAGTGTGGTGGTGGGGGGGGGGGGGGGTGAGTAAAAAATGTTTGTAATGTTTTAATGTAGTTTTAATTTACTGTAGCGTATTTGTATGGTGAACGAACGGACAGGACATCAGCTTAGTTACTTTCTCGTTATTTTCTCTTTACTTTAATAATTTTTTTGTCTATTTTTGTCTAAATTTTTTTTTATCTAATCAATCCAGGGGGGGGGGCCAAGTGCCCCCTTGCCCCCCCCCCTTGCGGGCGCCCTTGCTTATTATTTAAAAGTTTAAATCGAATATGGCAACAAGTTGCAGGAAACGAAAATATAAAGAAGAAAATATAAGTTTTCTACCAGAATGGGAAGAGGACTTTGCGTTTATCGATAAAGACGGTCGGCCAATTTGCCTCATCTGCCAAACATCGCTAGCAAATGACAAAGCTAGCCATTTGAATTTTCTCATTAATCCATTCATGCTAGACGTAATTAAAGATGGCTTCCAGCTTCCCATGCATATCGTTATGGAACCTTCTGCTGCTGAAATGGAACCTTCTGCTGCTGAATGGAGCTGTTAGAGTTACAGGAAGATCAGGGTTTGGCGATGATACCCAAGTCACAATCTGTGATGGATTTCTGGAAGCTCGTGCCAGAAGTAAAATATCCTCAACTTGAGAAAGCTAGTTGCCGACTTATATCCATTTTCGGTACAAAATACTGCTGTGAAGCTTTGTACTCAACAATGAAGTTCATAAAATCTAAGCATCGAACATTAACTAGTAACCAGCATCTGACAGAACTTCTTTGCACCACAACTACTAGCTACCAACCAGATTTAAAGAAATTTGCTAGTTCAAAGGCTTCTGAGCAGAATCATAACAATTAATGTTCACTCTAATTATGAGTATATATGCAGTGTGTTTCTATTCATAAGTTTTACATATTTAAATATTTGTTAATTGTGTAACTGTAACGCATATATTTCTTCAATTGTGTAACTGTAACGCATATATTTCAGTTGTGTAACTGTAACGCATATATTTCTTCAATTGTGTAACTGTAACGCATATATTTCAGTTGTGTAACTGTAACGCATATATTTCTTCAACATACGGTTAGGGTTAAAACAATTGAAATTTTTAAATCATTACATTCGAATAAAAAGTAATTTTAAAAAATAATTCACAAAAGGAATTGTTCATTGCGAGTGGGGGTCGTGACCCATAGTGCTTCAATGTGGGGTCGTGACCCATAGTGCTTCAATGTGGGGTCGTGACCCATAGTGCTTCAATGTGGGGTCGTGACCCCTAGTGCTTCAATGTGGGGTCGTGACCCCTAGTGCTTCAATGTGGGGTCGTGACCCCTAGTGCTTCAATGTGGGGTCGTGACCCCTAGTGATTCAATGTGGGGTCGTGACCCCTAGTGCTTCAATGCGGCTCTCAACAATGTTTTTTTAATTTTAAAAATGGCTCTCAGTTACTACAGGCCTGGCCACCCTTGATCTATGCTAACAATGTGTCCCATTATTCATTGCGAAACTCACCATTTTTTGTTCATGCTGTTGCTGCCGATCCCGATGGTCAATTAGCTGACCACCACTTGTATGTCATTAATATGGATTAGCTACATATTGATTAGAGTAGCGTGCCTTTTTTTCTACACAGAGACTGGGGAGCTTAGATTGTGGTTACGGGACCACTTAAGTGAGAGAGCTACTTTGTGGTTACGGGACCACTTAAGTGAGAGAGCTACATTGTGGTTACGGGAACACTTAAGTGAGAGAGCTACATTGTGGTTACGGGAACACTTAAGTGAGAGAGCTACATTGTGGTTACGGGAACACTTAAGTGAGAGAGCTACATTGTGGATACGGCAGAGGCGTAGCGAGGTGGGGCAGGGGGGACAGATGTCCCGGGCGCCAGCTAGTTAGGGGCGCCAAAATGTGCTTTGATATTATATTATTGGTAAAAATAATGGGTTTGAGAGTTGAAAAAAAGAAAAAGGGGCGCTTTAAAATTGATCTTGTCTCCGGGCGCAAATCGTGTTCCCGGGCGCCAAACACCCTCGGTATGCCTCTGGGTTACGGGAACACTAAAGTGAGAGAGCTACTTTGTGGTTACGGGAAAACTTAAGTGAGAGAGCTACCGTACATTGTTATCTGGGAACACATACGTCTTTAATTTCAAATAATTAGCTATTTCTTGTTTTGTATTGTCTGCCGAAGAAGGCGTAAATCATTCTGTTTCTTATTTTCAAACCCTTAACCTATTTTGTTCCACTATTTTTTTTTTATATCGTACTAATTGTAGACGGTGTATCTTAATATTTAGGGCACCGGGAACCCTCTTTGCAGCAGGGCCTTCACAGTTGAAATTAAAATGAAATAATTATAAATTAACAACAGAGCCATGCGCTACTAAATCAGTATAAACAATAACTGAATAAGTTAAAATCATAACAGCTCACAATATCCCACTCAGGCCTTACCTGCTATTTATCATCAACCCAACGAAGCACCATGGAACTATCAACGATAAGCAACTGTAATGCCGAACCGTTGGAAGAACTATTCAAAAAAAAATAATAATAATAATAAATAATAATAGTAAAAAGAACCAGGGGAGGCAAAAAAAAAAACTACCAACTCGCACGCAATTTATCGCTTTCCTTAACAATGTACGAGTGAGTAACTCCCTATGAATGATTTGACGATCTATTGACTGCGTTTTACGCGCCATTGATGCAAATGACGCGGTGGAAACTTTGATTACTTCTTTGAAGTTATATATATATATATATATATATATATATATATATATATATATATAGAACGTATGGAGGACTCAGTGGCGTAGCGAGACGTCGTCCCACGCGGGGCGGACTTTGAGTTTGCCGCCCCGATCCCGCCCCCCCCCCCCAAAAAAAAAAGTACACATAACGACAAATAGTGCTTTTTTAGTACAGTGAAACCTGGAAATCACGAGCCTTGAAACGGCGCTATCACTGTCGTGTGAACTAAATCGCACCGGAACGGAACGGCGGGGATGAGCGGTGAGTGAAGAAAATCAAGGGCGCTGAAGGCTCCCAAGCCAAAGTGGGGGCAGGGTTTGGGCCTCCCCATAAAATTTTTTGATTAATTCAAAATATAAGGATTCATTTTGGCGCATACGTGAATGTTTTAAAAGTATTGCGTTAAAAGCTAAGAGCAACTGAGAAATGCTATGATTTTTTTTTAAAAATTGTTCCTATAATGTTGTTTTAGAATATCTATTAAAATATTATAAAAACTATTTTCTTTCTTAAAATTCTTCATCATTAAATGATTTTTTTTAAGGTACTGATGCGAGTTACCGGCGCTTACTGTCACAAAAAAAAAAAAAAAAAAAAAAAACAAAAAAAAAAAAAAAAAAAAAAAAAGAAAAAGAAAGAAAGAAAGAAGGCATTTAATATAATTGTAGTGCTGCCCTGGTGCTTCGAGTGAGTTGTGGCACTGAGTTATGTTAAGGTCAGGACCGAATGACTAGAGATGCGGTTTGTCACTTCTTAGTGTAGGCCTATAGTATTCCACCTGTCACATAGGCCAGGATTGAGCTGGCTATGTTAAGACATCCCACGTCATCAAAAGAAAATATCTCTCAGATTCCGCCCATGTCTAACCATCCCATAGATTGTCATAGATGACGGCTTTTTTTCTACTTTCCTCCTTTTTTCGAACTAATATTCAATTTAATTGTGTCAGAATAAAAGACTGAATAAACTGTATAGACTTTAGCCAATTAGAGTTCAAATGTCTGATAATAATGAGTAGTAATAGATAGTGAAATAAAGTTACGCCTTGCGTCTTTTGCGCCTAAAATGACGCCGCCCCCCCCCCTATATTGAGAGAAAAGTGCCCCCCCCCCAATTTCCTTCGCCACCGAAGGGAATGTGCAAGCCATTGTAGGCCATTGCTTCTAACTTAATAGCCTATTAATATACCCCCCCCCCCCTTTTCCGGCCCACTCTTTTCATTTATATAAAATAAAAACGGGATTTATATTATAGACGTGATCTCTTAAAAGCAAAGGTAGATCG